CCCCAAAACCCCAAAACCCCAAAACCCCAAAACCCCGAGCATATAAGATGAGATTGAAGTTATAAGAATTATACGTTTGAGTAGTCAAGTTTCGACTCAAGTTTCTTATGCTCTTTAATTTTTCTTGCGGATTTCATAAAGTCTTCATGAATAACATAGTCTCTTTCGGCTCTGATAGCAAACATTCCTGCTTCTGTACATACGTTACGGAGATCTGCTCCATTGAAGTCCTCTCATAGCTTACAAATGGCCTCATAATCAATCTCTCCATGTTTGGTAATTGGTTTAGCATGGATCTTTAAAATATCAACTCTTGCTGATTCATTTGGGAGTGGGATTTCGATCTTTCTATCTAATCTTCCTGGTCTAAGCAAGGCAGGATCTAAAACATCTGGTCTGTTAGTAGCCATGACAATTTTAACTTGACCAAGCTCATCAAATCCATCCAACTGATTCAAAAGCTCCATCAAGGTTCTTTGAATTTCTCTATCAGCTGATGATCCTTGAGAGAATCTTCTACCTCCAATAGCATCGATTTCATCCATGAAGATAATGCATGGTTCATTTTCTTTAGCGTAGGCGAACATTTCTCTGATGACTCTTGCACTCTCTCCAATATATTTATCTACAATAGCACTTGCTACAACTTTGATGAACTTAGCATCAATATTGTAAGCAAGAGCCTTAGCTAGAAGGGTCTTTCCAGTTCCTGGAGGACCGTACAACAGGACTCCCTTTGGAGGTTTGATTCCAACTCTGTGGAAGAGCTCCACATTGGTCAAGGGAAGTTCAATAGTTTCTCTCAGATCCCTCACTTGATCAGTTAGACCACCAACATCAGAGTAAGGTACCTTTCCAGGACTCTCAGCTGTCATATTATGCACTTGAGGGTCAACTTCTCTTGGTAAGATTCTCATAATAGTCAGTGTAGTCATATCCAGTGTAACTCTGACTCCTGGCTTGAGCTTTTCTCTATCAATCTTGGATCTAACCCCGACCACATATCTAGGCCCCATGGAAGTTTTGACGATAAACTTCTCTGGGTTTAGCATCTGGAGGACTTCTCCAATGATCTGGCCTACGCTTTGTTGTGCCTTAAGCCAGTCTTCAGTCTTGTCCAAGAACTTGTTTCTTTCGTTGATATCTAGTCTTGCTATAAAAACGACATTTAGCCAATTTCCTTAGTAAAACTCCTGAAGAAGAAAGAGAGTTTAGGTGTGCTTACTCTTTTTGTTCTTCTGTTCGATTTCTTTGTGACTTTTTAAAGCGGTCATGTATGACCTGACAAGGGAATCTCTATCAATCATTTCCTTTGTAAATATTATATTAAAAATTTCAACCAAATTTAATATATTGGGGTTTTGGGGTTTTGGGGTTTTGGGGTTTTGGGGTTTTGGGG